TGTGTATGTGTGTGTGTATGTGTGTGTGTATGTGTGTATGTATGTACGTTTGTATGTGTGTGTGTATGTGATGGTATCAATGATAAGTTTTTTTCAGGTTTTAATGAATGATAGCAGCAGTTGAATTCATTTATCATCAACGATGTGCCAAATCTCAATTTTTTCGCATTTTTGTTCAAAATTGAAATTTCCAAACTAATTTTACTGATAATCATTTCACTTCATTAAATGCTATCATATTATTAACATCTTTTTTTCATACAAGTCGGATGAATTACTTTTAACGTTTCATTTTATTTATTGAAACCTATTGCTAATTAATAAGCGACAATTTTGAGAAGCACGCTGCTATTTAATTTTTTTAATAATCCATCAATTGCTTTTATTTGCTTTTTTCCTGCTGGTAATTAATTGATTTTTAACAATTTCACATTTATTGTTTATTTGTATGATGTACGACGTAAATAATAATTTTTTGAAAAATTAATAAATCAAAATTAATTCTTTTTTTTTTCTCAAAAATTTTTTCGGATCTAACAATGACTCATTTGAACAAATGTGCAGCAAATATATATTTTCAAATTTTCAAAACTTTTTTTTTCTTTTTTTAGCATTTTAGGAGAGATAGCATCAACACATTTGGCTTATCATAGAAATTATCAATTATTAGAAAATATTTTCTGAATTTTGCACTAATTTTTATTAAAAAATTTAATTAAAAATACAGATAAAGGTCCAATTCGGCGTATAATTCATTCCTGATAATTACATTGCAATAAAATATTTACCTATCAATTATCGTTATCGATCATTTTTGACAACCGGATCATTTCTCACAATCATATATCAGATATCAGGCCATTTTATCTCTTCACTATCATCTTATCATTCAGTGTGTTCTTGCGATCCATATCAACTTCAATTTATCGGAAAAAATTTAAGAATATGAAAGCAATTCTAAAATTAATTGGTCTATCAACGGCAATTTCACTGGTAAAATGTTAAATGCGAACAATGTTGAAAATTTGTTCATTAACTTATTTAAGTTTAACCCATAATCTTTGATCCCTGTGAGAGCCGAAGGCTTTCTTGTTTTGTTTTTTTACATATATAAATCAATTTTGCTAAGAAATTCAATACATCTGGTACATATAGTACAATATACTTTTTTTTAACTTTAGCTCCAACCATTTTTATCGTTAAAAACTATCGGCAAAATTGAAAAGCCAAGATTAAAGGAACTGAAAGCACTTAGAGCATCGCTATTGGCTTCATGTTAATCATTTACGTGACACACACATAATCAATCATAGTATGCAGTAGGTAAACCAAAAAATTAAGTAGTTGAGGAAAAATAGAAAAATTTATAATAAGTACCTGGTAAATGCAAGAGCCATAAACGAATCCGGAAAAATACAAAATCATAAAAAATAATCATAAAAAATGCATCGTAAAAACCATAAAAAATAATGTTTGTTGTGATTTTTATGGATGATAATTCATAAAAATCACAAAATAACATTTTGATTTGTTGATTTCATTGAATAAAAAAGATATGAAAGGAAATTATTAGTTGCAAATTAGAAAGATGCAAATCATAAAATGAAATTCAATTAATTTATTACAGTTCAATCACTTCAAGGTTCCAAGTAAACTTTTGTCCTTTAGCATGAATGTCATTTTGCCAATAAAATATAACCGGAAGGTAATGTGGTTGCCAATAACAAATACCTGTTAATTTGTTAATTAACGAACAATTTTGACGTGATAATGTTGGTCTATTCCAGGCTCTAGGCTTTTTTCACATCCATATGATTTCAGCGTGAATGAATAACACAATAAATGATATGGAGCAATGATGTATTCAAAATTATCACCAGGATTATTCAATTTAATAATTCTTACTTCAGTTGTTTTAAACAAATTATGTTAACCGTTCTCTCTCTTTTTCGATATTAAAACATGACCTTGACCTTGAAATTTCTTTCTGTGGAAATTTATGTCAATTCTTCCTTCTCTCTTTAACAAATAACTCCAATAAAATTTTCCATCAAATTTCCACTTTATCAAATTATTTATCAATGAAAATATACAATGTATGAGACAGCGATTTCTTATTCGTTGCATATACGTGACCATAAATACTGTCCACTCATCCGTTAGCTTTATTTTACATCAAACTAACTTTTTCGCGTATTATTTCATTTACCCCGAGATTATTTCTAGAAATGCAAATCTTTCTATATTAGATCATGTTATTTTGACCAATTTTCATCGTAACTTCATGCAAAATTTATTACTCCCATGAAAAATTAACTTCATAATTGAGAATTTTCGAGCGCCACAATTATCTGAGAAGAGTTTTAGAGCGCCACAATTGTCTGGGAGTTTTAGAGCGCCACAATTATCTGAGAAGAGTTTTAGAGCGCCACAATTGTCTGGGAGTTTTAGAGCGCCATAAATATCTGGGAATTATAGATCGCCACAGATATCTAAGAGTTTTGGCGTCGTTCATCGGACTCGCTCTCTTCGTATAAATTCGATTTTTCGCAGAACTTACTTTCCGCGATTATTTCATTATTCTTCGATCTGTTCCAATTACTGTCAGATATTATTTTTATAACTTTTTAGAATGAGTGTTACATCAACAATACCAGAAAAGGAAGAAAATATAGCGGTACGACATTTTCGCCAATATTTACGCATTAATACGGCTCATCCAAATCCGGATTATGGTATGTTTGTTCCTATTCTTTATCGCTAATCTTATATCTTTAAATTTTTTCTTATAATCAAATGATTTTTTTTTAAAAGCATGTAATTTTTTTTTTTTGAAAGCTTTATTCATTTATTTATTTTAATTCATTCCATTTAGCCAGGGAAGTTTTTTTTTTTTTAGAGCAATAAGATTTTGGTGGTAGTTAACACTACTTTATTTTATCTTCTCAAAATCATTATATTTTAAAGCCAACTTCTGTTTACTGGATTTTGCCACGATGAAAATATGTTGGAAAATATTTAGTCAACATATACTATGCATTTTTTTGGTTTTACTGTAATCTATACCGGACCAGCAAGGCTAATTGGTTCCTTGAAAGGAACTACAAAAATGAAATAATATCAGCTTTTCCATTTTATCTATTACCTGATCCATTTATTGTTTTATCAGTAGCTGTTATTGTAGGCTATGATTACTTTTGATTGTCTGATTTTCTGGTGAATCATGTTTTGCTGCTCTTTTAACCAATGTTATTCTTATATTGCTATGAATTTGCAAAATTTGAATCTCTGTATCTTTGAATTAAAAATGTTGCAAATAAAACAAAAAAAATTTCAGAGAAATGTACCAAATTTTTATTTGATTTGGCAGATGGATTGAATTTCGAGCGATCCATTTATGAGGTTTGTTAATTTTTATATTCATTTTTATACATGAAGTGGAAAATATCGAAATTAATACTAGGGAACGATAAAAAAAAAATGTAATATGAATTAAATTCAATAAACGGATTGATCAAATATCCCTTTAAAAGTATATTGCGGTTGGTAATTCATAAATCTATGCGTATTTTCCAATTAGCACTAGTTAATATCCAATTATTTTACTTTTTTCTTATACTATGACCCCTTTCATCGACCACTCTACTTTTTCGTTATTCAGTGGAAATCTAAAATCTATATATGCGGTGTATGTGACAAGCTCAGAATAAATATCCAATTTGTCAGATAT